CTTGCGTTGTGGCCAAAACGTCCGTGAGAAATATTTTTATTATGTTTTATTATTATTATTTTATTACTTCCCTTCTACGTGGACTTACCGAAAGAACCAAGAAGATTTACCATTTCTTCTTTGTTGGTCAGCTGGCGGTATGGTACGCAGAATGGTAGCGAAGAGTTGACGAAGCTGGTACGGCATCTGAAAGAGCGAGCGTTTTTCCAGACACGCAATCCATTCGCGATCGCTCTCAAGGTAGCCTGCTCGCATGGCTGCTTCCAGCGGTTTGTTTTGTTTTATTTTATTCGTAACGCACCATCCATATGCGCTCCACCATCCACCATGCCTTGCATCGCAAAGACACATCTCCGGTGTGCGTCAGCGTGTGCGCCAATCCACAGTGACATTGGTCAGCAATTGCACCGTTCGATCGCACACAGGTTGGCCCCTGCATCCACCGTCTGTATGTACACACACAGACAGATGCGCTATGGGGCCAACAATTGTTTTCTTATATTAAAATGTATTTTGTTGGTGTTTTTACGTTTACGTATTCCCATTGTGGGTGTTTTACGACATGGCATCAGATTTTTGGGTTCCTCACATATGGTATCAGAGGTGTGGGTCACTCCATTTCTCAATCGAACAATAACGGAGATCGTTTCAGTTATGACAGCTTGCAGATAGAAACATTGCATGATCGTATACTAATAATGGACAGAATTTGTACCCCAGTGGAGGGCATCCCCCACCCGGCGCTTCTTACCGGTACTGTGAGACTTAGAAATCCAGACCTCTCCTCCTCCTGAACCGTTCACAATACCCTGTGGTAGTACCATAATCATCTCAATAAAGCGATCACTTTCAATGGCCATTTTGATCCCGGGAGTTACCCGGGTGGTGTCACACTGTACTCATTGTTTTAGCATGTCGCAAATTCCGATATGGCTTGTGCAACGGCCAGAGAGTGACAGCGGCGGGGGCCGGGCTGCAACCTTTGTAGACCGTTTATTACATTTCAAAGTGCATGGGATTGTGACTCCAAAACATGATAAATGGTACAGTAACGCCAACTGCATCCGTGCCAAACATGATACGCGGACACATGCTGCATGATTATGCAACACATGCCCTCTTACCAGCAGCAGCATGCAAACATCTGAATTGCCAAACCGAAGGTAGACAGGCAAGCCGTCCATGGAGACGTGATCAACGTCACTACATAATAATGGTAATAAGCCGGATAAACCGAAAGTACCCATTGTACCCATCAAACAGTCAGCTGGGTTGCCCCATGGGGGTATTGACCCATGGGCGAAACTGTAGGGGTGCGCTACGCAACTGGCCGTGGTCCTGGCAGGTGAAGCTGCCAGCTCAGTCCGCTAAGACTTACTGTATAGCGACCCCTGCCTACTCGTAAGGTAAAGTTGTTTGGGGACTCCACTAATCGCAGCACGCAGCACCCATTTTTTACATAAATAAACGTAATATTAGCGTAACTACCATTCGCACACTTGAATACACACCACACTCACACAGCGCAGGGTCTGCGCCCACAGTGCACTGCAGCACTGCGGCGCAGACCTTGCCAAACCTATGCTATCGCTCTCTTCCGGGCGTGTTAATTATTTATTTTTTATCGAATCAAAGTGAGCTGAGGCTTTTTGCCGGCTGGTTTATTTTCATCGAATCAGAGCGAGCTGTTTGGGCGGGTCCGTAAATAAATTAACGTCCAGATACGCACGCAGACGACCAAACCAGCATAGTTGTTTAAGATAATCGTTTGAAATGAAGAAGGATTCATCTTTAAAAGTTCAGGCTGTTAAGTGCAGCAGGTGACTCAAGGTTTGGTTAAAATCGCGTGATAAAGTGAACAGCAAGTCATTTTAAATTGTAATAACAATGAGAGCCAGTGGCCATTTCTTTTTTAAAAAGTTGCTCTCCCCGACGGGAATTGAACCCCGGTCTCCCGCGTAACAGGCAGAGATACTAACCACTATACTATCGAGGACTCGATCGGAATGCAAGATTCTAGATTTACTGATATTATAACAAGTAGAAATGAACCCATATACTCGGCATATTACCGATTGAAATGAAGAGGGGGTTATCTTTAAAAGTTCAAGCTGGTTAGAGCAGCAGGTTACCTAACGATTAGGGAAAATCACGTGATTAAAGTAAAGAGCAAGTCCTTTTAAATTGTAATAACAATGAGAGCCAGTGGCCATTTTTTAAAAAAGAGTTGCTCTTCCCGACGGGGAATTGAACCCTGGTCTCCCGCGTTACATGTGGGGAACCTAACGACTTTACTATCGGGGACTCGGTCAGAGTGGGGCAGAATTGTGATTGACAGAAATTAGAACTAGAAATAAACTCTAATACTCATTAAATAATCGTTTGAAATGAAGAAGGATTCATCTTTTAAAGTTCAGGCTTTTAAGTGCAGCAGGTGACTCAAGGTTTGGTTAAAATCGCGTGATAAAAGTGAACAGCAAGTCATTTTAAATTGTAATAACAATGAGAGCCAGTGGCCATTTTTAAAAAAGAGTTGCTCTTCCCGACGGGGAATTGAACCCTGGTCTCCCGCGTTACATGTGGGGAACCTAACGACTTTACTATCGGGGACTCGGTCAGAGTGGGGCAGATTTGTGATTGACATAAATTATAACTAGAAATAAACTCTAATACTCAATAAATAATCGTTTGAAATGAAGAAGGATTCATCTTTAAAAGTTCAGGCTTTTAAGTGCAGCAGGTGACTCAACGTTTGGTGAAAATCACGGGATAAAAGTGAACAGCAAGTCATTTTAAATTGTAATAACAATGAGAGCCAGTGGCCATTTTATTTTTTAAAAGTGTTGCTCTCCCCGACGGGGAATTGAACCCCGGTCTCCCCCGTGACAGGCGGGGATACTAACCACTATACTATCGAGGACTCGCTCTGAATGAGGCTGATTGTAGATTGACTGATATTATAACAGTAAAATCAACCCCGATACTCGGCATATTACCGATTGAAATGAAGAGGGGTTATCTTTAAAAGTTCAAGCTGGTTAGAGCAGCAGGTTACCTAACGATTAGGGAAAATCACGTGATTAAAGAGCAATTCCTTTCAAATAGTAATACAATAAGGAGAGCAAGAGGTCAAAACATTTTTAAAAGAGTAGTTCTCCCCGACGGGGATTTGAACCCTGGTCT